AGATGTCAGTTTTCAAAAAACATCGATACATCGACTATTTATACATCAATTGGAAAATTTTCAATGCGTCGACGCAAAACATCAATATTTTCGATGCATCGATGTTTTTCCAACATCCCTACCCTGAATACACATCTGGTGCTACATTTTTAAAATTCAAAATGGCGGACAAATTTTTGGAAATCTTTTGGATATGCTTGTAACTTCTTTTTTGGGGGGTTTTTGGGATCGCTGATTACAAATTGGAAGTTATTTTTTAGAAATTCAAAATGGCGGAAAATTTTTTGAAAATGTATGGAAATTGGTCGAAACTTTTTTCTCGGATGTTTTTTAGGTCGCTGATTACGAATTTTAATTTACTTTTTTATAATTTGCAATGGTTGAACAATTGAACAAAATTTTGAACTCTCTATTAGATTTCCTTGTTACTCTGGGAGTTTCTAAAAACATAAATGATTACATATCTGAAAAANTTTTTTTTGAACAATTGAAAAAGTGGAACGACGGTTTAATGTACCGTAGATGTCAGTTTTCAAAAAACATCGATACATCGACTATTTATACATCAAGTGGAAAATTTTCAATGCGTCGAAGCAAAACATCAATATTTTCGATGCATCGAAGTTTTTCCAACATCCCTACCCTGAATACACATCTGGTGCTACATTTTTAAAATTCAAAATAGCGGTCAAACTTTGTAACTTCTTTTTTGGGGGGGCTTTTGGGATCGCTGATTACAAATTGGAAGTTATTTTTTAGAAATTCAAAATGGCGGAAAATTTTTTGAAAATGTATGGAAATTGGTCGAAACTTTTTTCTCGGATGTTTTTTAGGTCGCTGATTACGAATTTTAATTTACTTTTTTATAATTTGCAATGGTTGAACAATTGAACAAAATTTTGAACTCTCTATTAGATTTCCTTCTTACTCTGGGAGTCTCTAAAAACATAAATGATTACATATCTGAAAAAAAAGTTAATGTTGCAATAAGTGAAACGTATTTCAAATAATCCCAGATAAAAATAAGGAACTAATTTGTAATTTACGTTAGTATAAGTTGTTGCACTTAAATATTGCAAAAATTTTAACGTTTTATTGGGTTCAACTAGAAATTCGAGATTGCTTTGAATGGTTTGAACGGCAGGAGCTGGATACAGGGCCAAAGCAAGAAGAAGATAAAAACATATAACCCCGTAATCGGGTAATCCGATAACCACCAAAATGTTTCCATGCCTTTGGGTAAACCAGTGATCCCAATTTGGTGATTTTCTTAATGCCCCTAATTACTAGTTAAAATGTGTAAGACCTAAGTACATAGTAAATAAATACCTCCGTAACTTCATATCGTCGCTGGAATAATGAAATAGTGTAACAGGAAAAGTATAGTTTTGAGAAAAACGAATTGGAAGTTTTTATAAACCATTACAAACCATACAAATACAATTTCGTTTTTCGGGAATAAATTAGTGAGCCAAAGAGATATTAAGAAAACTAACGATTTTTATTAATAAAATGAGCTAGACGTGCAAACCACAATAATCCAAAATTTGGACTTCATGGGTTTTGCTTTTAGAGCTTCTTATACGAAAACATTGGTTATCTTGAGAAAAAAGTTGCAATTAAATTAAAAAAAANCGTTTTTCGGGAATAAATTAGTGGGCCAAAGAGATATTTAAGAAAACTAACGATTTTTATTAATAAAATGAGCTAGACGTGCAAACCACAATAATCCGAAATTTGGACTTCATGGGTTTTGCTTTTAGAGCTTCTTATACGAAAACATTGGTTATCTTGAGAAAAAAGTTGCAATTAAATTAAAAAATTTGCCATTTTCCTTAGATACTTTTTATATATGTATGTATATACTAATGTCCATACCCTTTCTAATATACTTTCAGGGTGGATTTCCCTACTGGCTGCTCACCAAATATCCCAACATAAAGCTGCGCACATCTGATATAAGTAAGTAGCCCGACTTAAATATATGTATATTATTTGGATCAATACCATTAATACCGTAACTCTACAGACTATCTGTTCGAAGTGCGCACTTGGTATAATGTGCTGTTCAGCCGCCTTAAACCATATCTCTACGGCAATGGCGGCCCCATAATTATGGTGCAAGTAGAAAATGAATACGGTTCCTATTATGCCTGTGATAAGAAGTATCGTACGTGGTTGCGAGACGAAACACTGACGCATGTGCAAGACAATGCCGTGCTATTCACTAATGACGGTCCAAGTGTGCTCAGTTGTGGTCACATTGAAGGTGTATTGGCCACAATGGATTTCGGTGCCACAAATCAGATAAGTAGCTATTGGGCACGTTTGCGGCAGATACAACCGAAAGGTCCGCTAGTAAATGCAGAGTTCTATCCAGGCTGGCTGACACACTGGTCAGAGCCGATGGCACGTGTGCGCACTGAGGCGATTACAAAAGCATTTGTGTACGTATTAGGCATTGATAAAATATAAATGGGTAGTTATTTACTAACCGGTACTTTTTCTAAATTTATTTTCAGTGAAATGTTGGACGCAGGGGCTAGCGTTAACTTCTACATGATGTTTGGCGGCACGAACTTTGGCTTCACCGCTGGCGCCAACGACGGTGGTCCCGGCCGCTATCAACCCGATATCACTTCGTATGACTACGATGCACCCATGGACGAGGCTGGAGATGCCACTGCTAAGTTTCATAAATTGCGCGAAATTATAACTCGCTATTTACCGATACCGAATGTACCGCTACCAGCACCAGTACCTAAAAAGCACTATGGCACTGTTCGACTGAGCGCTTGCTGTTCAATGTTGTCAGAAAAGGGTCGTGAAATACTCTCCACTGGCGTTATAGTCAGTACGAAACCTAAGACATTCGAAGAGCTGGACCAGTATTCAGGTTTTGTACTCTACGAAACCGTGCTGCCGGACTTCAACCGTGATCCAAGTATTTTACGTGCCACCGGCGTACACGATCGGGCTTACGTATACATTGATGAGCAGCTAGTGGGCATACTCTCTCGCGAGACACCCATATTTGAGCTGCCTATTAGTCCTAGCTATGGCACGCATTTGCAATTGCTGGTCGAGAATCAGGGACGCATTAACTTCGGACCTGTGACCGATTTTAAGGGCATCATTAGTAATGTTGTGCTTGACAAAGATGTACTGTCCAACTGGACAATGACGAAGTATCCACTAGAATCGATTGAGGACATTGAGACACTTATAGCATCGGTTAATGCCGAGGAGCAAAATGCTGTGCTGGGTTTCCACGAAGAGAAGGGTGGTTCAGTACTGTGGAATGGACCTACAATTTACTATGGACAACTATCGATAGCAGATGGACAAATCGGTGATACGTACTTAGATACCAGAGGTTGGGGTAAGGGCTTGGTGTTTGTGAATGGAGAAAATTTGGGTCGCTATTGGCCAGAGGCAGGGCCACAAGTGACGCTCTATGTGCCACGTGAAGTACTTAAAAGCGGCGACAATCGTATCGTACTCATTGAGTACCAACGCTCTGGTCCAGCCAATGAAATCACATTCACTGATAAGCCTAATTTGGATGGTCACTGATAAAATGAAATTAACTAAAAGCTTCTTCTGATATAGTAATAAGATTAATAGTTTGTATGTTTTTAAACAGAAAATAAATGAATTTGACTGGGTGTCTTAAATGTAAGATTTGAAAAAATAAAAAGAAATTAACAAGAAAACAAAATTTAAAAAAATTATATCTGCGAAATATTTCAAATATTTGACTGATTTGATGATCAAACTCAGGACCCGAATTACGGTCTGTGTGGCCGCTTCGAATCGAGTTACTTAAAATAACAGCTGTTCTCTCCAATACAATTTAAATTGAAAACCGGGCTCACCAAGGGGTACTGTAATCTCGAAATTAAATTTCTAATTTCTAATCGGATGCCATGATTCGGGTCCAGGTTTTTGTAGAACGTTCAGTCATTCTTTGGTTACGATCTAAGAATATGTTGCAGGGTGCGAAAATTATGTATGTTGTCGAACGAATTTTCGTCATCCCTTGTTTAACCTGGCTTGAAGCCGAGTAGACCCCAGTTTAGTTTTTCAGTTTCGTAAAAAGGATAAAAAATGTGTCTTTTAATATCCCATTAGTACCACCAAGAACCTATAATCAAAATCGAATTTAATTTTCATTACATTTGAAACTAACTTATATTGAAAACTGCAGATTTAAGCGGGGTCTTGGAGCACGCGGCTGAATGAAAAGAGAAGTCGATTAACCCATGTCTGTCTGCCGGTCCGTCCGTCTGTCCGTTTACATGAAAACTCGATCAAAAATTGAGATATCTCAACGAAAATTGGTATATAGGTTGTCCTTTATTCAAGGTAGGTTGCTATTGAAAATGGGTGAAATTGGACTATAAACACGCCCCCTTCTCATATATTATATATTAGATTATTAAAAATGGGTTTTGGGCGTGGCACCGCCTACTTCTGACCACAAATATGTATCTCGGTAACCGATTTGTAAATTTTTACCAAACTTGGTGTATTTAATAACCTTGTTTTTCGTTGAAAATTATTCACATCGGACTAAAATTGCACCGGTTTCCCATATAACGGTAATTTTCGGATATACAAAAACTCCGATATTTCAATAACTGAGGACGTTAAGGTACTCCAAGTTAATACTTACAACAATCTCTTTGCAACAAATAAGACTGTTATAGACTTATAGGTAGTTTAAAGAAAGTTGGAGCGACGATAGGTGATGCCTGCGCCGGGTATATAAAATTCGGTTTCGCCCGAACTTATACTTCATTACTTGTTAATCCCAAAGTTGTTTATTGAAACCAGTACCTTCTGTTTTGTATCATGCATATGTATGCATGTATGAGTACTTTTAAAAATATTGACTGCAGGAGAAAATTTTTTTTAAATGCTTTTAAGTTTTTAATATGTATGCTTTGGGTATATAAACATTATATTCAATATTATAAGTGCTGCCCCGTACATTAAATCTTGTAAGTCATTAACCGCCAAATGGGGTTTCAGTAAATTTTAAAGCCTCATAGGTTCGTTAGCTGGAGGCAATTTTAAACCTGTTTCGCGTGCACAAAACGCTGAAAAAAAAGAATGTTAAACATCAACACAATTACTTTGTTAAAAGTAGACTTTACATGTCTGTGGATGTGGCGGAGGATGCGTAGCTTATTCATGGGCGGGGAAATAAAATTATAACAAGCGAATGAAAATGAGGAAACATAGCGGCGGCTTCCAGCGCATTTTTTAAGTACAAATCTAGATAGATACATGGCCACGCAGACATAAGTACATATGTACATGTGTTCTATGAACAGTCAGCCAAACATATGCACATAAGTATGTATGTACATATATACAACATAGACATCTAATAAGTGGTAACAAGACCAACAAGATATCCTTAGGCTTTAGCGTACACAGCCGCAAAAAGCTGTTGTCCAAAATATATGATTGCTTATAGTATGTATGTATGTATAGCTAAGAATTCTTAAGATGGTCATGAAGGAGGTGTTCGAAATTAAACACAAATGCTTACATAAATATGGGTAAAAATATGGAAAGTGATTAGTAAACAAAGACTGTTTATAGGATCGGCATTAGGAAGGCTAGAATGAGGCTAGCCCATCAGATGACCCCGTTTGGACCGTTGTCCAAATAAATATGCAGCTCTCGAACTGTGCTACTGTATAGACTGTACAGCAAACTTCTGGTATCGTCCTATATGGCCCATGACAGGGACAGTCCGCCTTCAGAACTCAGCGAAATCCTAGTACAGAACTCAAGACAAATTTTTTTGATCGGCTGCTTTGTGAACACTATACATTCAGTTTGGGTCCGCACCACGGAATGAGCGAAGTATTTTTAACAGGAGCAACAGACCTACCGGGCACAGATATATTCCCTGGATGGAAGGAACTGCTGGACTTAACACTGCTGTCGGAAAATTACAGTGTTCGCGTAGAAGATTGGAGAACAAGTATTATATATGCCGTCAAGGTCTGCCCACTGTATGATCCTCTTTAAACTTCGTGGCATATGCAATACTTCCTCAGGATACAGGAACCCTCAAAGAACTGATTGGGCATGTACAATAGAATATTGACTAATCAGATAAGCAAAAGAAATCTAAGAAAAGAGATCTGTCGAGGACCTTGAAAATAGAATATATCATGTAGAGCGAGCTATGAGAAAAGCCTTTGATGTGCCAACCCTAATAAGTATCGTAAAGGGGATCTAAGAGCTATAAGAAAAAAAAAATTTACAACTTTGTCATGACTGCTTTAAAACAAAAAAATGGGCGCCTTGTAAAAGTGTCCTAATGTCATAGAAAAAGACAGGCAAAATCTTGGAAATCCTACTGTTCGGCCATAGACACCTCCAAGTACTCAGCAAAGCTCAGCAAAGATTCAATACACCAACTTTTCGCTTCTAAAGAAAGATAAAGGTGTGTGTAAAAACTCAGCCAAAGGCTCCTTGGAGACATTAGTCAAAACTTACTTCCCAGTGTACTCCGGATTCAACCGCTTCAAGTATAACTAGTTTCGGACCCCAAAACAGTAGGTTTTTGGGCTCGATTGTGAGCAGGGAAAACAGTCATGAATGCTATAAGCAACTTTTCCCTTTCAAATCAGCAGGATGGCATAATCACGGTAATGCTACAGAGAAAGAAAGAGGAACTAATAACACTACGAAGACTAAGTTCTTTTTTGGAAGTCACCATCATTTTATTTTGGCCGAGTCCAAAAGAGCACTCCAGTCGTTTCTCTTCTGTGCCAAGTGGAAATGCCAAGTGAAGTCAAGCCCTTTTTCATCTGATCTTTCTATTACTCTGCTACCAGCATCGTGACACGCGTTAAATACTTTCAGAGCTGGGGGGTTTCTGTCCATTCGTACGACATGATCAAGTCATCAAAGCCGATGTATGGCTGCATTCCAAAACAACTAACTTCTGCAACCTAGTTGAAAACTCCAGCTCCTAATCGTACCAGTTGTTTTTGCGGGCTCGCTGAAATCCGAATACTTCTTTGGCGGCGGTACCTAATTTGCAGCAAATATGGTTCCACTGCTCGCGTATGTCAATTTGTTGAAGAATACTCTCAGGGAGCAGGTATGACAGTTGAATAAATTGGCCGCCTGTTCTGATTGTAGCTTTTCGACGTTGAGCCTTCCATGCATTGTTGGGCGCACATTTTTTGCTGCACAGAGGCGGGTGCGTATCTTGGCTGCAACAAAATATTGGTCAGAGTCGATGTTTGATGCGGGTCGTGGCTAGACGCTCGTCCAATGGGGTGAGCCCACCACAATTCCAACACCGAAATTGCGCTCCTTTACGTGGCAAATGTAGTAGAGGTCGCAAAGTTCCACGATTTCTTTGCACCAGCCTGGTTTAGAATTATAGCAACCATTTTTACCTTTTTATACACATGTATGTATGTATGTAAGTATATAGTAGTTGTTCTTCTGATTAAGAGGGCAACTTATTTACATGTACCTACCTAAGTGTGTAATGTGGCCCCGCCGGCGTTACCCTTAATGCATAAACATACATATGTATATTAGACTGCATCACCAAAAAAAGTTTTTGTTTTTCCGCCGGAATTACAAAATCTATTATATTTGAAGAAGTTNAAGACTAAGTTCTTTTTTGGAAGTCACCATCATTTTATTTTGGCCGAGTCCAAAAGAGCACTCCAGTCGTTTCTCTTCTGTGCCAAGTGGAAATGCCAAGTGAAGTCAAGCCCTTTTTCATCTGATCTTTCTATTACTCTGCTACCAGCATCGTGACACGCGTTAAATACTTTCAGAGCTGGGGGGTTTCTGTCCATTCGTACGACATGATCAAGTCATCAAAGCCGATGTATGGCTGCATTCCAAAACAACTAACTTCTGCAACCTAGTTGAAAACTCCAGCTCCTAATCGTACCAGTTGTTTTTGCGGGCTCGCTGAAATCCGAATACTTCTTTGGCGGCGGTACCTAATTTGCAGCAAATATGGTTCCACTGCTCGCGTATGTCAATTTGTTGAAGAATACTCTCAGGGAGCAGGTATGACAGTTGAATAAATTGGCCGCCTGTTCTGATTGTAGCTTTTCGACGTTGAGCCTTCCATGCATTGTTGGGCGCACATTTTTTGCTGCACAGAGGCGGGTGCGTATCTTGGCTGCAACAAAATATTGGTCAGAGTCGATGTTTGATGCGGGTCGTGGCTAGACGCTCGTCCAATGGGGTGAGCCCACCACAATTCCAACACCGAAATTGCGCTCCTTTACGTGGCAAATGTAGTAGAGGTCGCAAAGTTCCACGATTTCTTTGCACCAGCCTGGTTTAGAATTATAGCAACCATTTTTACCTTTTTATACACATGTATGTATGTATGTAAGTATATAGTAGTTGTTCTTCTGATTAAGAGGGCAACTTATTTACATCTACCTACCTAAGTGTGTAACCCTTAATGCATAAACATACATATGTATATTAGACTGCATCACCAAAAAAAGTTTTTGTTTTTCCGCCGGAATTACAAAATCTATTATATTTGAAGAAGTTCACCAAAATATTTCGGAAAAATATTAAGATTTACGTGAGCTGGACCAATTTGAACATACCTCCAAAAATGAAGTTTTTTTATGAATTAAAACAGTTTCTTAAAGGACTTTTTGAAAAAATCTCCTCAGATGACAAAC